ATCATTTCCACCATTTCCACCATTTTGCCACTATTTCTCCCCCAACCCCTCAGAATCTGGTGTTCTTGGTTAGTAAAGAGCATATACGTATATATATATATATATCATTTCCACCATTTTGCCACTATTTCTCCCCCAACCCCTCAGAATCTGGTGTTCTTGGTTACCAAAGTTAGTAAAGAGCATGCTTAAAATATATCATGATGTTTGAAGAAAATGAAGAGAAATCAAAGTAAATATCAGTTGTGAACAATACATTTGTTATGCATTATTTCCAGTCATACTGTAATTGTATGCAATTAGGATACATTGAAAAGTTATTTCCATCCCAAAATGTATTTAAAGACAATATGAAATTTAAGATGCTATGTAAATTATACTATGATGGAAATGAAAAGTCAAAATTCCAACAAATTCCCCTGTGATTCTTTTAAATACTCTGTTGAACATTGTTAGTAGACAAATTAAATAGAGTGTGAAAAGTTTCTTCTGAAGGAATTTATTTAAACTACCATTCAACACTTTTGGGTCAGTAAGATGTTTAAACGTTTTTGAAATATCTCTTCATCAAGGCTGCATTTATTTCTTTAAAAATAGTAATATTTTTTATTTTAAGATTTTAAAATGTAATTTATTCCTGTAATGCCAAAGCTGATCGCATGATTCTTCAGAAGTCATTTTAATATGCCGATGTGCTCCTCAAGAAACATTTCTTATTATTATCAATGTCAAAAACATTTGTGTTGCTTAATGTTTTTGTGAAAACATTATAGATTTTTAAGGATTATTTGATGAGCAGAAAGCTTAAAAGATCAGCATTTATTTGAAAATTCTGTCATTAATTACTTACCCACGTGTCATTCCAGTATGACCTGTATGATTTTCTTTCATCTGTGGATGACAAAAGATGATGTTTTGAAGAATGTTGGAATAGGAACCACTTTTAGTTCCTGTTTACTGTATTTACATGTATGAACAAAAATAAATAACTTGACAGGAACTGAAACTGTGTGGTTATCAACATTCTTCAAAATGTAAAAAAGAAATGCATATATGTTTGGAATGACAATAAAAGATTTGAGAATGGAGTAAACGATTTTTTTAAATGTATTATTATTTATTTTGGGGGGGTGGACTGTCCCTTTAATGCATCCATGCTGAATAAAATAATTAATTTCTTCCATCAATCAATCAATCAACCAACCAACCAACCAATCAATCAATAAATAACTCTTATCAACCCAGACTTTTAAGTGATCTTTTGAAAGTCCACAGTGCCAACAATGGCAGTAGTGGAAGAAACACCCTTCTAAATAATTAGTTATTTATCCACTATGCTGTTACTAGAGAGATCGTTGTTATTCTGTGTTCTGGTGCAGTGCGTTCCTGCAGCTCCCTCTAGTGGTCAGTGTTTAACAATGCTGCCTAAATTTTGGGGACTGTAACTGCTTATACTAATCAACTATCTCTTTCTACAGTCGTGTGATGACTTATAGGGAACACGGTGCTTGGGTGGTGAAGGCACGTCTGCAGAAGGAGCCTGAGGGACACATTATCAGTGTCAGGTAAGTGCTTTTCTCTCTGACATAATTTCTCTTATTTCATTTAATGAAGAGCAGGCAAAGGCACGCACATCGAGCTCAACTGGGTGCTCGACTAAGAAACAAGTGGAAATGTATTTTTTTAATGTAAAGTCGGCAACACCAAAGCTCCAAAAGTATCAAAAAAATTAGTTTTTTTTTTTAAACTGTCGCATAGCATATGTGACGTTTCGAGCACGCAGGCTCTTCATCAGACAAATGAACAACACTGATATCCCAATCTTTATAGGCCTACCTCCCGGTGATCAAAGGTCACATGACCGTACAATATTATCGTGATAATAATACCAAAACAATAACATATCAACCAAGGAGAAAAACATAGAAACAAAAATAAGAAATAAAAATAAATCAAAAACATATAAAGCTATGCAAAATACACAAATATCATTCTCAATATATTGTTTAATAACATTACTTGATGCCTGCCTAGGTACATAAATACAAATCAATAACCACAAAGCGTTTATTATATGTAAATAGATATCTTGTGTTTAAAGAAATCTTATTTCATTTAAAGAATATACCTCATGCCCTTCTTGTATTTAGCTCACAAGTTAGTTCTCCTCTCTTGTAGTGTTAATGGAGATGTGCGGTTCTTTGACCCACGGACACCAGAATCAATTAACATCTTGCAGACAGTGAAAGGACTGACAGCTCTGGACATCCATCCACAGGCAAACTTGTTCGCTTGGTGAGAGATGCACCTGCACCTTTATACATAATTTATACAATTAGTTCTATTGTGCAAAATGTTGCTGTTTAGAAAAAAACACAGAAGACAAATGTTTCCTTGCATCCATGACCCTCTATACACCTGGCATTAAGGTCCACATGTACTTCACTGAACTTTCACTGAACTGGCACACATTATAAAGTAGAGATACACACTTCTCAAGACACATTCTGGTTGAGTTTAAGGTGCACTTGCACAACGCATAACGCTTTTCATAATGCATATCATTTCAAAGCAGCTTCAAAAATATATATATATATTTCAATTCTACAATAATTATATTCAGTTTATTATATTTGGTAAACTGAATAGGCCACGTGCTATCACTTGTACCTGAGCAAATTGAGTGCCAGTTTACAGAGTCAGTCACAAATAACATGTTTACATAGTCTAATAATAATAAGTTATTGCTCTCCCACATGTCCCGCATTGTCCCCGTAGAATCACATCTGCTCACTTGTGGCAGAGCAATAACAAGGTGGTCACCCTAGTCCTGATATGCTTGTAACTCATGCCTCTTTTTAAACCATTTTTCTCTCGTTCTCTCACTTTCTCTCTCCAGTGGCTCTATGAATCAGTTTATAGCTGTGTATAACTCCAATGGGGATGTGATCAGCAACATTAAATACTATGATGGTTTCATGGGGCAGAGAATTGGAGCCATCAGCTGCCTGGCCTTCCACCCTTACTGGGTAAGACAGATTTCTCAATGAAGACAGACTTTATTACTATGAGCTGCAGTGTTGGGAAAGCTCATTTGAAACTGCAAGTTGTCAAGCTACAAGTTACGCATAAATTAAAGTAGTTAAACTACAGTCAAGTTATTAACAAAAGTAGCTATCCACATTGAAGCTACTGTAAGGGGCAATATTTTTTAATATATCGAATGATATAACTTACTATTTTAGCAGTATGATGCTAAAACAAAAATTTGCATAACGGCATAAAACTTGAACAAATAAATTTACAATAATTAAACATATTTGAATTTATAACTTGATGGTAGTGATGAATAGCAGCATGTAAGTAAATATTTTGCTAATACTAAAAAAATGTCACAGAACATTAGAAGCTTAGAAGCTACAATTAATCTGAATTATTTTAGAACCATTAGAATTACATGACCCATCCGAACTAACCAAATCACTAGAATAAATTGGACCTCCAGAGACTACTTATAAAAAGGACACTTTTTCTCCCAGTTGACATGTTGAAATTTTGATTCCAAAACCTATGGCTAAAGGAATGGTGGAAGACCAGCCAAATACTACCTTAACTCAGTAATGCCTCCCTTTATTATATCTATACAATGGAACCAATGTAAACAATTTTTGCTTTTACATACATCCACATTAACAGATGTCAGTAAGGCCACTGTGGTATTGGCCAACAAAACTTTACTAAAATTACTTTGTACACCTTTTATAACATTTGTATTAGAAAATGTAAAAACTATATTTCTTTATTTTACTTTATCAGCCTCATCTTGCCGTGGGCAGTAATGACTACTACATGTCAATCTACTCAGCAGAGAAGAGACTCAGATAATATCATGACCGCTCACCTTTGACCCCTGCTGCCCCCCTTGGATGTAAATGACTTCCTGTAAATATGCAACAACCACAATGAATGTCTAAAGAAGGCTGCTGAATCCACACATGATGACTATATTAAAACCATTATTATTATTATTCTCAACATAATTCTCATTATGGATTTATTGATTATAGACTAGGCTGTGCAGAGGAGTGAGTACTATTTAAATTGTATATAAAGATCTAAAAACAAATCTTTATGGTTTGGCCAATGCTAGCCAACTTTTTCTTGGAACTGATAACCTCCTGCAGAGTCAGAGAGGTTGAAGACAAGAGACTAGGAAATGACGAACTTCCCTATGCTCTGTGTTCAAGGCTGACTGCGGAAGGCCTATTGTTCAGTGGGTTCTCTATGAAGCCCCGTGCCTCGTCATATCTCTGCTGAAGTACAGTGAGATGTGCTCTTCTGAAAAACTCTGTCAATCTTGCTGTAGATCCATAGTTTTTAAGTGTGCAGGCATGCAATTCGTGTGAAGAAATAGCCAACAGATGTGGTGTTCTTACTCACCAATCACAACCTCCCTCACACATGCATGCTTAACATGTTCACACACACACTATGCCAAACCCTCTCTGCATCAAAACACAGCAATTTATTATAGTTTTATACCTCAACATCACATAGAACTCTGATCTCAAAGCACTGGACACGGATAACAGGGCCTGCTGTTCATTTGCATCCACACTAAGAACTGTGGAGCCTGGGAGAAACACAAGGTTCTTAAAGATAAGCTCACATTATCAGGATAAAGATTTGTATAGATTTCACGACAGAAATGTAAAGATAAGAGAGAGTGAGTTTGCCATCTATTTTTGCCTGGGCAGTACAATAACCAAGTTTTACAAGGTTGTTTTTTTTTCTTTACTTCTTGTTTTGCATTCAAGAGTCATATGTAATAGTTTTTCTCTCTTTACACACATAGCCCACTAAAATTGTGCCAGAGCCTCTATTTTAGTTAGTTAAAAGAAATATCTGTTCTCCATGCTGGAAATGCCACATTACCTACTTTAGCAGCGCCAAAGCTTTTGTTCTCTTGAGCTAGTGGTCACCATCTTCATCATCATCACATTTTGTGTTTTACAGAGGTTTCATCTGTGTCCCACAACTGTGCACAATTTTGATTTGTTTACTCAAGAATGAAAATGAAAGTGTTTACTAAAAGCCTGAAGGGGTAGTTCACCCAAATATGAACATTTTATCATTTATGTGCCTGCATGTCATTGCAAACCTGCATGATGGTTTTTTTTTTTGGAACACAAAGGAGATATTTATCAGATGATTTTTTTAATTACTTTTCCATTAAATTCAAATTGACAGTAATCGCCAAGTCACACAGGTTTAGCAGAATATAATTGTGAATATGTAAGTGAATAATTCTGTTTTCATTTTTGGGTGAACTTCCTCTGTACAGCAGCAAAATCAGGTGGAGCCTTGCTTTGTTTTGTTTTTTAAATATTAATTGTTGAGCATTATTTGGAGTACATAATGTGAATACAATTTATCAGTAGTGTTGAAGTGAGATTTGTAAGGAATTTTAAGGTGCTGATGGATTGAGTAGCCAATTAATAAATCTCGGAGGGTTGAGGATCAAGGTGGAAATGTATTTTTGTACAAGCTCTGATCAGAGTGTTTTGTTTGTTTGTTTGCTTGCTTGCTTGCTTGTTTGCTTTTTCCTTTCACATCCTAGTAAAAATGTCTGCAAGCAAATGGAAACTTTTATTATGAGGTGACTGATGGAAACAGGCCTGGATCAAATATTGAGAAATATGTACCCAGCTCATAGACAGTTACCTCTGGGACAATCATGTCACAATCAAATTACACTTATAATTCATGGCATAAAATCAAATAGATGAATGGAAGAAAAATGGATTAGAATATGTTTTGAAGCTCACCTCCGGGATTAGTTGAATTGACTCTAGTCCTGAGTCTACTGTTCTGTATTATGAGATGATGAAGGTAAAACGTCATTGTGTTTAGTTTTCCATCAACTTTAGTGCCCTGCTTTTCTGATGTGTCACTGATAATGTTAATGTTATGTTGTTAATGGTTTATGTAATATCTGTATTTTATTTTTAACCAGATAAGTTTAAAAAAAATTTTTTTCATCTTTTAATCTCTTCATTTACTGTCTTTGTTTGTATTTTTGGCTTGCATTTCTTGGTATGGCTGCCATTCTCTTGCTGTTGTTGCATTAATCACTGAAGGGAAAGAGAAAGCACCTTTATTTGTCCGTCACCTTTCCTTAGGACTCTCAGTCTCTTTTTAGATTTTCTGCCCCCTTTGGACATTTGTTTTCATCTAAAGGAGAATTTGGTTTAGCACTTACCAGTGGATTTGTTCATGAATTGTGCCAGTATAAGATTAAATTTTCAGCTCCTTGTCAGGGAGTGGGGGATGTACTCTGCCTTCATCAGATTGGAAATCACTGCTCTACTAATCCTCTTTTGGGTTTTAACATTTTAAAGAAAAAGATAAATTAGTTAAATGAATTGAAACAATCAGGTGTTTTTCTGTGGCTGTAGACTGCTTTTTCACCATGGTTTAAAAAACGAATAGCAAGCATTCAAATAAACCAGATATGTAAATGTACAATTTGCAGTATTTGTCACTTTGTTTATTTGTCCGTTTGTTTCTGTCATAATTTTTCCCAGGTCCTCCTAATGTTGTCTTAGGTCAACATGTCATGTTTTTTTTATGCTAAGTGCTATTATTACTATATATATTCTTGCATTCTTGAAAAACATTTGTTTTCAGGAAAAATGCACGTCCATGTGAGAACTTGGCTTCTGCTTGTTTTCAAAGACATAGAATCACTGTTACAGAAGTAGTAATCAGTGAGCAGTTTAGTTTAGGGCTTTAGTTTAGTTTAGGGTTTTTTTTAAGCATTTCTCTGTTGTTCTCTGCTGGTTTACAACTGGAAATAGAAGGCTTTTACCTGAAGAGTAATGACACAGGTTCACCTCCACCTCCTGTCCACTGAACCATCCTCCTGCTTCGTCAGAGAGACGCAAATCCAGCCAGAGTGAACATTCCAACTCTAGGCCTCATTTCCCCAGGAAGCAACACTCACTTCCTGTGAAATTAACAGAACAGAGGCTGTGTGAAGTGATAACTAGGCAGAGGTAAAGCCCTTCATACACAACTCCTCCCTCGATCTTCACTTCACTTTGTCCTACAGCAAAACATACATACACACTAGTTAGAAGTGCTCAGCCATGTGGGTGAAGATTCAGCCCTCTCTAAAGATGGGCACCTTGTGCCACCTCCTCCTCTTCCTCTTCACCTGTAAGGACACTTTTATTTCTAGTCGCTCAATACTGGTTCAAGTGGATGTTAAGGTTGGTTTGGATATAAACTTGTCTTGATTTTTGTCTTTTTTTTTTTTTTGGTCTAACTGTCTTTGACGAAATATAACACCATCAGCAGAGGAAGCCTGCGCAGGTCTGTATATCACTCAATTCTCAGCCTTGTATTAAGTTATTCAGTTTCAAAATGTCATAATCATTGTCATTTATCAGTGGAATCTGTACAATTTTATGTGTGAAGTGGTTGATTTTGGTTTGTTAAATTCAATCGTAATAGGGATTTGGAACAGTTTGACCTCACATTTATTAATAATAGAAATCCTTATAATTTGGACTAAAAATGTTGTGACTTTGTACTGTTTGTTTTTGAAAACATGTTTATGTGTATTGTCACATGCCCTGGTTCTGGAAAGTAGTGGGAAGTGGTAGAGACATGAGGACTTAAGTAAGCCGTGTGATGTAATTCGTCATTCGCTTTCGGCATGATGCTCTTAGAATTCGATAGCCAAACATTATAAGCTTGAATCAAAATCTGATAATCTGCATATCATTATAACTGGTAGAGCTATGTGTACTGTAATAAGTTTTAGCTCATATTATTAACTTTATTATTAACCAATTATTAACTTTGACAGCTTTTTGGAACTGTTCATTTATTCAGTCCCACGGTGTGGTCTGTTTATTACAAATAAAGATTTTCATCACTAATACTAATTAGTTGGAACTTTACATACTTACCTACTACTTTACTTGCTTGCTTATATGGAATATTACCATAAAAATGCATTAATTTGTCACACTGCTGGACCATTACAATGAACTAGAAAAGAAAAGTTACGTCTATAAATTTAATCTATATGTTGACTCTACATGTCCATTTGTGAACTACCCAAATATTTTATGTAGTTTCATTGTTAATGTGACATTGAAACTGCAACCTCATTGAAACTTACATACATAAGTATTACATACATATTATTGCAAAATTATGAAATTGTGTTGGTTTCTGCCATTTGTGCGTGTGAATGGGTGCAGACAGAAGTTTCTAAAATAACTCTCATCCCCAGAGATGGAAGCTTCTAAATATGTTTAACTATTTTCCTATCCACCCCAATGTTTATGTACACCATAGGGCACCAATAAGGGGGGCAGATAATAAGGCTAATAGGACTGTTGTAAGAATATCAAATGCAATGCTAAATTAACCACTAAGGGGCTAAGATCAGTATGCTCATAAGATCGTTCAGGGCTTCAGTAGTTAATTGAAGTAAATCTGAGTACATTTTACACCACCACAGTTTAGTTGAATCAGTCTTCTGCAGTGTAAACTGTAACCAGTAGCAGTTTGAGTGGAATTAATTTCTGTGATGCAGAATCTCATTCCTTGAAACACCCACCACCATCTAAGTGGTAAAATTGCTTTTATTTCTCCACAGAGTCTGTCATAAAAAGTGTGCAACTCATTATCCATCCGAGAAATGAAGTTGAAAGAGGTACAAATGTGTCATTGATATGTCAGGCAGAAGTGAGCCACAGGCTGGGGTCTCACCCCAACTATAAATACAACTTCTACAAAGATTTTCAGCCATTAAATACTGACCAGACCAGTTCTACGGACCACCTCTACTCTATACCAGATGCCAGAATGGCCCACTCTGGGAAATATAAATGTGCTGTTGTCATTGAGGAGCAAAAGAAGGAGAGCAGTGTCAAAGACCTGACAGTGAAAGGTAGAGGAACACATCAGTTCAATGTGTTGAAGAATTGCTCTCAGAATTCTAATATCTGCTGATGTTTCTGCAGGTCTTCAGACACCAGTCCTAACAGTGGATAAACTGAAACTGAGAGAGGGAGATGATGTTACTGCTGTCTGTACAGCAGAGGGAGAAATAGGTTCTTTGACATTTATCTTTAGTGATGGATTTGAGGAACTCTACGCGGAGAGCACAGTCAGTCACCGAGTTGAGCGGCAGCTAGCCCTTACTAAAGGAACTGTGAATATATTTTGCTACTATTCTATTAAATTGCATAGCACAATAGAACGCTCTAATGACAGTAATGTGATCAGTCTTGACATTCAAGGTACGTCAATATATTTTTTTCATAGTATACTGTATAATAAATGTATTTGTTCATCCAGGAAGTGTAAACATGTCCACATTCCTTTCCAATTCAGAGCTGGAGATCAATCCCAATATTAAAGTCAATCCATCAACATATGTCATTGAAGGAGATCTCATAACCTTCAGCTGCAGTGTTGATACAACTTACCAAAGAAATTCTGATCTCAAAATCAATCTCATCCATGGACATACCATGCTCAGTTTGAACATGACACAGACAGATTACAAAATGTCTGCTAAGGCTAATGACTCTGGAGAATATGAGTGCATCTCAAGGCTTGGTGGTGTTTCTAAAACCTCTGCTATGAACATCACTGTAAAAGGTGAGAGACAATGAATGCTTATCAATATTTCCTAATGTATTCTTTGTGAAATTTCACCTTAAAATAAGATTAACTTTTTGTTTATGATATTTTTAGTAGATTTTTTTTAGAAGCATACCATGACCATGGGCCATCAGTATGCAGAAAGGACAAAAATAGCATAATAAAACAGCTATAGAAATTGGTCAATGTGAATTTTATGTTATATTACAAGTCTTCAGATGCTGAAACTTTTTTGTGTGAAAATCCTTTGCTGCGGTCATACCTTAGAAGATGTATTTTAGACCTTTTTTTGCTTTCATACTGAAAGGCAGTGAGCATTAAGCACAGTCTGGTCTTGTCTACCCAAACACTTTTAAATAAATTATGCTTTGATAACTGTTTGTATATTTTTGCCTCAGAGCTTTTCTCCATGCCCTTCCTGAGTATTCACCCAACTGAGGTTTTTGAGGGAGAACACTTCACCATCAGCTGTCAAATCAGCAGCTTTGCCTCGGAGAGGATTCGAAAGGATGATATAAGATACTCAATATTCCAAGACAAAACACCTGTAATAAATGGTATCATATACAGTGGCACTGCAGGCAAAGCGTCCAATGGGAAATATATATGTGTTGCTGAAGCCAAAAGGATTATCAAAAGGAGCGAGAGGGTGCTGTTTGAAGCAAAAGGTTGGCAGTGCCTTCTCATCCACTTTGTCTAGGAAAACAAAAAATATGATCAATATAAAAGACACAACACTTTTTTGTTAATTAACCGTTGTTTCTCTTAAGTTCTCGTTTCAAAGCCTGAGATCTCAGTTGATGGTCCTGTTATCATGAATGAGTCATTTTGGATTCACTGCCACTCTGACAATGGAAGTCTGCCAATTATCTACTCACTAAAGAGAAACAACATTACCCTGAACAGGACTGAGGTGTCTGACCTTCATGAGAAGGCTCGTTTCTTAGCCATGATATCAACTCCTTCGGACATCAGCAGTTATATGTGTGAAGCAGAGAATAATGGCCAAGTCTCAAGCAAGATGAGTGAAAGGCTACATGTGACTGTAATAGGTGAGGTCATCATAAAGATATCTGAGGTCTAAAAAGTCAGTAGTGTACAAATGACCAGGGACAGATAGAATCTGTGAATTTATTGAGTATTTTAGAGTTGATTTGTTTACATTTTGAATCTAAAATCATTATTAGCCAATGATTAAAGAAAGCTTTATAAATGATGGGTATTCCAATTCTGCAGAAATATATAAAACTTTTTGTTGAGTTCTGCATGTGCATATTCAAATGTAACTGATTGTGTTATTTATATGTAATATAGTATTACTTTTCAATGTTAAATATTTCAATTGTTTGAAATAGGATTTTAGAAAAAAAGTTTGGGTCCAGTGGATTATACTATAATGTCATTTCATTTATATGATATAAATGCTGTGGTTCTCAACCTTTTTGACTCAGAGCCCCCCGATTAGGTTTAGACTATTTTTATATGTTTACAACAGTTTATTAGTTAGTCCTGGCCCCCTGGTTGAGAACCACTGATTTTTAATGTTATGTCATTTCGTAAAATCTGTTTACTTCATTGAGTTTACTGTTCTCTTGTTTTTAGTTCCAGTAGGGAAGCCCTTACTGACAGTCATTCCAGTTCCAGGAAACATTGAAGAGGGCAGTGATGTTACCCTGATATGTAACATTCCAAAAGGCTCTCCACCTGTCAGTTTTAGTTTTTATGGAGGCAGTGGCATAGAAATCTACAGCACCACAGTTCAAAGTAATTCATCCTCATATGATCTGAGTGCAGTAAAGAGACAGCACAGTGGAAATTATTATTGTGAGGCAAATAACCAGGCAGATGCTTTGATAAAGAGTGACACAGTCACAGTCGAAGGTGAGCTTTATTTTTCTTTAGCATCAAATCTATAGTCAATTTTATGAAACAACATTTAAACTTAATACATAAATTAATTTTAAAAAGTGTCTTTTTCTGAACTTTTATGATTATTGCATGTGCTGTTTTTATGAGAGATTGCATTACATTTGTTCACTCTTTAAGACGTTCAAAAACCTTCATTTCAAACTTTTTGCAGACAGTGAAAAGTTAAATCACACCCATCTTGAATCTTTTACTTAGTTTACTTTGTTCTTGAGCCTGTGCATATAGAATAACATGCTCTATGTGCCTTTTTTTCTTACCTGTAAAGTGACACTGCCACTCTGCTGTTTAACCACCTTTACCTAAAGTATGTGTCATGGTTATTTTTTGAAGCCATGCAGTATGTTTATGTGAGGAACACATTGACCTTTAAATTGTTATTCAATGAAAGTATTGTTTGACAGCCGTGGTCACCTTTCAGTTTCATTATATTGGAAAAAAGCAGCAAGGACATTCTGCAGTTCAAAACCCCTCCTGTGTTCCATGGAAGAAAGAAAATCATAAATATTTCAAAAGCGATTTTTACTTTTTGGTGACCAAATATGCAACATTTTATCTAACATCTAAAATCTGTAAGGTAAAAAAAGAAAGTCCATGTTGTTTGTCATCTACTCATTCTCTCTGTATGTGTCCACTCTATAGTGAGCCTGGCAAAGTGGAAAAAGGCTTTGATTGCTGCGTTCTGCATGCTTTTAGTGGCCCTGCTGGTCCTTTTCATCGTTATGCGCTACAAGGCCAAGCGAGGTAGAGAGTCCTACAGCCCCCCTGCATCACCTGTCTGACCTGTGAACCAAATTTCCTTTTCAACTTTTCTTTCTGTCACAGGTAAAAGAGAGATGGCTGCCGAACTATCAATGTGAGTCGACTGGCTTATGTTTAAGTTGGTCTAGAGTTGAAGGCATTAGAGAGACAAGATGAGGTGGTTTTGTGTTATTAAATAGTCGCTACACTCATCTGACCATGCCTTTACAAGTCATGTGGTCCCAAACAGACAAATCTGTTTTAAAAGGAATAATATTCATAGAAAACCAGGAAATTTAGGTAGTGGAGAATATTTAATAAATACATTTGATTTTTTTTCTCTCACCATTCCTCAGAAAGCCTGCAAGCCCTAAATCAGATGACTCTTTAACCCTGAGTCTTACCCATGACACCCATTATAGCGACCACACAGGTAGTCTCTTTATATTTTTATTTTTGTTCATCCACAGTCATCATCCACTCCATTCATTCTTTCACTCTAGTTCACCAGTTCATGTTGTGGTCATTTATATGACCTGTTCAGACCCAAACTCTTGCAAGACTGACCAATCCTGACTATATATATATGGTGCTGCTTGAAAGTTTGTGAACCCTTTAGAATTGTCTATATTGCTGCATAAATATAACCCCAAAAAATCATTAGATTTTCATGCAAGTCCTGAAAGTTGACCAAGTCAAGTCAAGTCACCTTTATTTATATAGCGCTTTTAACAATACAGATTGTGTCAAAGCAACTGAACAGCATTAA